TGTGGTGGGCGCCTGTAGTCCCAGCTACTCAGGAGGCTGAGGCAAGAGAATCGCCTAAGCCCAGGAGTTGGAGGTTGCTATGAGCTGTGACGCCACAGCACTCTACCAAGGGTTAATAATTCTTTTAAAAAAAAATTTATTGAGCTATACTTCTATGTGCTTCACTTTTTATGAGGCACTGTAAAGATTAATGAAGTATATTAAATATGTTCCTTTTGTTCATAGATTTAATTATCTCACCTAGGACTCTAAATGTATATAGATTTGTATTTTTATTTGTCACTCCAGACTGGAAAGGAAGCTATATCCATATAAGAGTTGGTACTTTTTAAAAATTTAACTTTCCACACAAGCAATATATTCACCTATTCAAAAGTCAAAAGCTATAAAAGTTATACAGTGAAAAGTTTTCCTCTTGTTCTTATCCTTTATCTACCCAGCAGTCTACCTCTGCCATAGATAACTACTCTTCTTAATTTACTATGGATCCATGTAAAGTTTCTTTATGCATATGTAAGTAAATGTGATATGAATTTTTTTAAAATATGGATTCTTAATTTTCTTCCTTTTAACAAAAAAGTTTGTTCGATTAGTTACAAATATGTCTCCATTTTTCACCTGTCATTTATCTTTTAGCATGCAGAAGGTATTTTTATTTCTGTGTAGCCAAATTTAACTTTCATTTTATGGCACCTGGATTTTGAGTCAATGTTATATTTCAAAATATTAAAATAATTTTACTGAATTTTCTTGTGGAATTATTATGATCTTAATTTTAAACCTTGATTCATTTTGAATTTATCCTAGCAGAACATGTAAGGTAAGGATCCAACTTTGTCCTTTTTTAAATGGCTACTTAGTGTTGCCCCACTGGTTTGGGATGAACCTTTATTACTAAATTCCTATATATTTTGGAGTGTGTTTCTGGATTTTTCTATTGTATTCCATTAGTTTATCGCCCTTTCATGCACTACTACCACATTGCTTTAATTGTTGAGACTTTTTATTGTAATTAACCTGACAGTGCTGGGCCCCACTATTTGCTCTTCTTTTTTTTTTTTCTGATGCCCCTTGGCTACTCTTACATGTTTACTTTTTTAATATGAACTTTGGGATTAATTTCTCTAGTTGGGGAAAAAGTAGAGAGAAGAAACCAAAGCAAACCTTACAGGAACTTGTATTGAAATCAGAATACATCTTTTTTTTTTTTTTT